GTAGGCTACATGCTGTTGTTGAGTAAAAGCATGTTTGTATTTGCAGAAGCAGCCTTAATGCATGGGTCAAGTCAGGTTAAGTCAAGTCAAGTTTATTTAGCCCAGTATCACACGCTGTATAGTGTCTCAATGGACTTTACTACAAAACTCCTCCAAAAAAACAAAAGTAAATCCTCCAAAGGAAGAAGTTCAGAGCAGGATATTCCCCCATCAAACAGAAGGTTTTGACTGCTAAAGTATACAGAATACATCAAGATCCAATACTAATCCTCAAAGACTGTTATGATAGGACCAGCTGTAATGAAGTAAATCAAATTCTAAAATCAGAAAATAAGGAATGGGTTATGAGCCCATAATATTCACAACTTACTCATAACAGCAAATATGTTTTGAAAAAAATGTAATGCCACCGGAATTACGTCTTTTATCAACATAATAAGAACATTAATAATTAATGTACAGCATCTTACATTGGATCCGGGCTCAATAGCTTTGGCTCAAATCTGAATTCAGTATCAAATCAACTCATTATGAACTTTCATCATTTCACTAGAAGCTGAAGTTAAAAATAATAATTCAGTTTAGATCTGTAATCACCAGAAACACTACTACTAATAACACTAAATTATTTGTTGATTCTGGTGGCCCCTTCAAATGCATGTTTACTACCTGTAAATACAACCTAAAAAAGGTTAGAATCATCACTTTCATCACAAAAGAATTGTTAAAATACTTTATGGTTTGGTGGCAAGATTAGGAAAAAGATTATAGTCTTGATTTCATGCAGATGTTTACTTCATTATAATTTAACCATTAACATTTTGTATGGTGTTGTATCTTGTGTCTGTTTTTAAGTCTTAAGTGTAAGCTTTGGATTTACTACTACTAGTCTTCTATCTCTGGTACTTGCGCATCACAAGTGGCCTCCGCTCAGGGACTACAGATGAAAATTAGACTAAATAATAAAACCACAATCTTGACCTAAATCCGAACAAAGTGCTTTTATTGCCCAGAGCTAACCACCTGCATGACTCCAGATGCAAATGCTCATCTCTGGTGTCAGAGTCCAAAATGTAGCACTTCCTTCCCTTAAGAAAATCTGTATAAATAATCAAGACAGCAACTACCACAACATAATTGGGAAAAGTTAGTTAGTATTAAATAAAATTAATTTTGCAGAGACAATGTTGAGGGAGGAGGAGGTGGGGAGACACATCACAGACAGTGTCAGACTAAAGTTCGCCACTCTGACACGCACATGCATCCTGAATTAATGTCAGGTTGAAAGGTGGCCTCGGTGTATTATTTTTAGTTCCGGCTCCAAATCAATAAATGGTTGTAAAAGGAAATGGGAAAATCTTAAGTCTATTATGACCTTTCCTCTAGTCTGGTATATAACATCGACTTGACAAGGAGAGACACATGCGAGTGACTCACAAAAACACTTTAACAGACTGTTTTCTTTGTTATCTTTTTTGTCAAGTTAATGGAGGAAAGATTAGGTCGACAGGTGTTTTTCTTTGCAACACAAATGTGTTTTGCCATTCGACTACTGGATAAATGTGCCGTTTCCACACAACCAGGAGCCACGTAGTGTATATGTTACGTTGCTACACTAACCACTTTTTTGTTTTTGTTTGAAGACAACTTAATGGGAAGCTTTTGGCTGCGATGCAGCGGCCTTCCGATATCGTGTACTGGCAGCAATGCCTTTATTTGCAAGTGTGATAAGATAACTGGCAAAAAAAACAAAACTAAACTGGTTAGGATGTGGTAACACTGCTCCACATTTAGAAAATATACAAAAATGTTCCGTTAAAAGGGCAGTGCTTTTTCATGTTTATCCTGCAGATTGCTGATCTATAAACAGTTGTAAAATATCAATTTTCCAATATGTGAACTGTGTCTATTGTAGTGAAAACGTACGCAAGTGCTTTGGCTTGTCTAGAATTTTCTATGAGAATACAATACTAATATGTGATGTGATATGTGCTTATTCATTTTAAAATTAATTAACATTAATAAAGTATTTTCTGATTTCATTCTAAACTGTTTTAATTGCAGTGTCACTATAATTGAACACTATCTTCCACTGCTTTTGTTTTGGTACCTTGATTGTAGTGCACAGTCTGTTGTCATCATAATGGACTTCCTTGTATCCTTCAGGCTCTCTGACAAATCAACATGCATGCAACCAAGCCATCATTAGCATGGTTCAATTAGCCCACTTACGTGGAATGGATATATTATGTGAATATGCACCACCAGGGATTTGGGTTGTTCTTTTACTGTTTTTACATTTGCTTTCTTCATAAGAAGTTGACTATTCTGAATAATATTTTGCTTAACTGAATGTTGTTGTTCTGCACATTTACACTGTAAAGTTGCTTTAAAACGGTACATTTCTAATTGTTGTATCTATGTGTTTTATTCACTTAATGTATGCATGGGTTTAATGACACTAGCGTGAGTTTAATGACACTAGCTTACTGAAATAAAAGAGACATTTATCAAAAAATCATTTTACCACATCTGGAAGCTGCTCACAGTAACACTGAACGGGGGGCCAGTGTCAATGTGTTAATGGAAAGATATGACAGATTTTTCCTGCCAGTCCAGGGGATTGAAAAGACAATCTTCCAGTCACAAGCTCACTTCTCTAACCTTAAGGTCATTACTGCCCAGTGGTACACTACAAAACCTTGGGTGATTGGTCGGCTCTACAAAATCTTATTCCCTACCAATAGTCAATGGCTTTTTCTAACCATCACCAAGATCTTACCTTAAGCCAGTGGTTCTCAATTATTTTCTGTCATGCCCCCCCCTAAGGGACAGAATTTTTTTCACGCGCCCCCTGAATTGGAATACTATTGAGAACCTGATAATATTTATTTATTTATCTGTACAAACCACTGTATGAGTTGCTGTCACCAGCATTCTGCATACAATCACCTGATTATCAAAATAGATTAATAAAATGAGCTGAGATAACATCTGCAACAACTTAAAACAATTTCCAAGTTCAGTTTATTAACTCA